AAAGCATATTGTCTTATTTCTACCTTTGAACTGCCTAAATTGTTAAGATGTTCTAAACATGGCAAAATATTTCACTTATACAGACATAAAGGTGAACATGTCACTTTAAAAAAAACTAGTATATTATTAAACCCTATTAAGAAGTAATCGCGACGTTTAATAAGTCGAGGTAATGCTAAAAGTGAACAACGACTTGGCATTCGTTAAGTAAAGCATATATGAACAATAGTTAATACAGCGTTGCTCCTCTTACAATTGGAAATCGCCGAAACAGGCAATCAGGGCTGATCCATGCAGATCCTGAAGGTCCTTCGAATTCGTTCGTGAAACGTTTAAGTTACCAGTTAATTAGACCACCCCATCTCTCCCTCTATCTTATTCAGGACTAATAAACACTATCAATTTAGTAATACGCTAACTGTATCTGTTATATTTCAAACAGTTTTCCTCAGTGGCAGCAGAGCATATATATTTCAAAATTTATCAGTCATTGCAATTTTATCAATTTGCTTAAATGAGCACTCTATTACCCTCAGAGGGGACACGCGAAACTTCCTCAAGGTTCATCCTCGTGACCTCATTGGTTAGTGCGGCGGCATCGAGAGCAAATTTGCTAGCTCTTGCCGCTTCCTGACGCACCGCTGTCAAAAAACCCTTAATAGAAAAAGGGTTACTAATGTTCAAATATTGCAGTATAGTATTAGCATAAGAATGAATTTATTAAATAAATTAATACATTGATAAATAAATATTAGATCGAGAAACAATCAAATGTCATTGAATTTTAAAACTTCTCAGAGAAGTAAAATAGAAGTAAACCTGTGGGTTAAAAAAACCGGTGAGCCAGTAAGCCTTAGGTCTTCCGTGGAAGAGCCATTTATGAAGTTGAGCATTCCTGTCCAGTAAATCGGTGAACCAGAAACCCAAAGTTGCCGAATCCCATGAAACCTATTAGACAAATGAATTAGTGTCACAAGATAGGTACCAAAACCCATCAAAAGAAGTACTTTAAACTCACATCTGAGGTAGAGAATTAGAGTTATAAATAAACATAAACAACTTAAAGGCCATTTACTTCGTCCTTAGTTAAAATGAACAATTCGTCTAAATTTTCTGCACCAAATCGAGTGCCTAGTTGTTTAGTTGTGATTGCAAACCCTGGAATCTTCCATGTTGATCGTAATCTCATTCGCAAGGACTATTTAATCCAATATTTCCGCTCCAAGACTTGAATACCAATCGATCTAAAACAGCCCGTGTTTTCCTAATTATTTATGCATGGCAATACCTTGAATGTGCCCCCACCTCATAGAGCAGTGAAGACTATAACAAGTTAAGAGGTGGTTGCTTAGTAACACTCTTCAAACTTTGTTACTGAGCCTCTAAGCTACTTTTCTCCGCTCCCACGTCAAACATACCTTCTTCCAATGAGCAGGTATTCGAGCGTAGTAGATATTAGTCAGACTGTCCCTCAAGTTCTCTGACATGATGATTGTTCCATCGATAGCCAATTTAAGATCACTCAAAGTGCAGCGTACGAGACTAATAACACGTTGAATGCAGTCCAATTCATGACGTAGAAAGATGTGCAGGGGTTTGAGATGACCCAACTGTTGCAACAATTCCTTGACCTTAAATGAAGTAGATTTTCATCAATCTTATCAATTATTAAAAATTGTTAGAGAATGACAGAAAATCTATCAATGCCAATGCCAATATGAAAACATTGTTGAGAAGGTGCTAAATGTAATCCATCTAAAGGAGTGTGAAATCTTGAATTTGTTTAAATAGCTGTCGGCATAGACAACTGGAATAAACACTTCATCTAGTGACTCTTCACTGGTCTCTTCACTACAAACTACTACATCAGTGTGCATTTCAACCTTACGTCTATTAGATATATTTTACTCTCCGTACTTGCTAATTGGAGTATTGATAAGTGCTTTCCAATAATCCCCTAATCATATTAATGTTAAAATTTTCACCACAAGTAAATTATTGATTATTCTATACTCTTGCTCGTATATGGAATCTAATCAGCCTAGTCTTGAGCGCTTTAGCACTACCATTGCTGGTTCAATCAACTTAACGCCTTGTCAATAGTAAATTAACTAGAACAAAACTACTAATCAATTTCCCATATTTGCTTCCAAACAGTTCGCCTTTGTATGCATCCAGACCCCTGTCACGAACAAAAATAGGTGATTTGGTAACATTACCTCAAATGGGTTGTAATCGGAAGGTAGTTTGGAAAGCATCTCTTCGGCCATTTTACTGACAAAAGACTCTCTCGTCTCACCTCCTCCGCTTGAACCATCCTTCGGCTGGATGTTGGCGATCGTCGTCAATACAGACGAGGCGTTATTGGTTTGGTACCTTGAAGAAAGAAGAGCAAAATGCCGAAACGTCATCAGACATCAGTCTTGATACCGTACGTTATTTAATAAGCGATCCTACTCGATTTGTGACAATTCCGCATCATATTTCTTTTTTAATTATGTAAAAACTCGCTCAGAGTTTAAAGTGCGTATTTCAGTGTTATTCTACATCGCTTTAGTCCTGTTTCACAGTTTCTATTCAACAAAAGTTTCCTAATAAGACATTCACTCGTTATTTTTTGCAATATGAAATCAGTATTTCAATTTAATCCATTATTTAAACTCAATTTAGAACTGGAGTCAACTTTAATACTTTTCCCTAAACCCATTCTTTGTTCTGACCTTAGCATTTTGTAAATTTCCATTTTAATGAAATATAGCCCACGTGTCATAATTCCATATGTCCTAAGTGGAGTACATCCCTAATAGTCAAAGAGCCTTTATACAAGAATAAATAAACTTAAAAGAATCATGATTAGTGTAACGTCATAGTTCATACCCCTTCAACTAGTGGTAGATTTAAACATGGATCACTTGTGCAGATACATAAGTTGCATTTACTCTTAAGTTAATTTAAGACATCTTTTAATCTGCTAGTTGTTCCGTCATCAGAAACCCAGATCATGTTTGCTTTAACTTCAATTCATACTGATTCTAGCAATACAGTAGGAGTCAATAAAGGAGAAACCT